CGTTGCCCCTTGCGAAGCCAGGCAGCCCCCGCTCCCCTCCCCAAACCCTCCCAGTGGCCAGGCAGGCTGGCACCCTGCCGGGTGCCTCTCTCCCCTGTCCCCATCCTTGTCCCCACCTGGGATGACAGCAGCGCTGAGTCCTGCCCAGAGGCCCAGGCAGAGAATGAGGGGTGCCAAGAGCTGCATGGTGAGGTCTGGTAGCCCAGCACCGCTGGCAGCGTCTGCAACTCTAGCAGATGTGGGGAGGGACTTTGGACCAGGATCAGCCCTTGTGGGGTGCGTGGAGGGGTTCAGCGGGTTTGTAACGCTGGGCGTTGCGCCGGGCAGCCAGCGCAAAGGCCATGGGGCTGGGCTGCAGGCACCTCCTTATTGCTGCTGGCGGACGGACAGACGGACTTGGGGCGTAGGTGCAGGGGCTGAGGCGATGGGCAGTGCCTGGCGGGCGGCATTGCCTGCCCCCGCTGGGGTGCCAGGCTGGGAGATGCCCTGGGATGCCACAGGCAGCGCTGAGCATCAGACCTGGGGCAACAGGGGCATTGGGAGCACCTGGGGTCACCCGTGCATCCAGCAACCCTGCTCCCTGCCCAGCACTTGCCTGAGCAGTAAATCCAGTGGTCCGGGCTAAAACCCTGCTCCTTGCTCAGCCCTTGCCAGGAAGGTACCAGCCCTTGTGTACTGTGCCCCAGCCTGGCAAAGCTGGGTGGGACACGGCCTCCCCTCACCCTCGTTTCATCACCTCCTTCACCCCAGTGCTTCCAGTGCTGGGTTGGGGGGGGAACTAGGAGCCACGACCACCTGGGGAAACTGAGGCACAGGGAAGTGTCTGAGGAGGTGACTGCTGCTGCAAATCCATGGAGACGAACAACCCATGTTTTATTGCATCCTGGCCACAGTTGGGACCCAGCTGCCAAGATCCTTGATGGGGTGGCTCGGGGGGGGCCGGGCAGCTTGAGCTGAAGTGGGGCTTGGCCGGGGGCTCTCAGTCCCCCACCATGCGGGCAGCCACGCAGAGAGCCAGGAGGGTGAGCAGGGGCTGTGGGGAGCACTGGGTGCCATGGGAGGCCCTGCGGGCTGCCCTGCACCCAGGCTCGGCGCCGTAGGGCTTGAGGCAGGCGGCGTAGGCCATGGCGTGGGCGATGTAGTGCTGCTCCTGCACGCCGTGGAAGAGGTGGGCCATGGGTCCCCGGGCCAGCACCACCACATCCTCCCCGCTGTGGGTCTCCGTCTCCAGGGGCACGGCTGCCTGCTGCCTGTAGCCCTTGTCCTCTGCAGGGGAGGCCG